CAGTTAGAACTGGATATGGAACAACTGATTGGTTCAAAATTGGGAAAGGACTACGACAAGGCTGCATATTGTCTCCCTGCTTATTTAACTTATATGCAGAGTACATCATGCGGAAGGCTGGACTGGAGGAATCCCAAGTTGGAATTAAGATTGCTAGAAGAAATATCAATAACCTCCGATATGCAGATGATACCACTCTGATGGCAGAAAGCGAGGAGGAACTAAAGAACCTTGTAATGAGGGTGAAAGAGGAGAGTGCAAAAAACGGTCTTAAACTCAACATCAAAAAAACTAAGATCATGGCCACTGGTCCCATCTCATCCTGGCAAACAGAAGGGGAAGATATGGAGGCAGTGACAGATTTTACCTTCTTGGGCTCCATAATCACTGCAGATGGAGACAGCAGCCACGAAATTAAAAGACGCCTGCTTCTTGGGAGCAAAGTGATGACAAACCTTGACAGCATCTTTAAAAGCAGAGATGTCACCTTGCCAACAAAAGTCCGAATAGTCAAAGCTATGGTTTTTCCTGTAGTGATGTATGGAAGTGAGAGCTGGACCATAAAGAAAGCTGACCGCCGAAGAATTGATGCCTTTGAATTGTGGTGCTGGAGGAGACTCTTGAGAGTCCCCTGGACTGCAAGGAGAACAAACCTATCAATTCTAAAGGAAATCAACCCTGACACTGGACTGGAAGGACAGATCCTGAAGCTGAGGCTCCAATACTTTGGCCATCTCATGAGAAGAGAGGACTCCCTGGAAAAGACATTAATGTTGGGAAAGTGTGAAGGCAAGAGGAGGATGACAGAGGTGTCACCGAAGCAACCAACATGAATCTGACACAACTCCGGGAGGCAGTGGAAGATAGGCGGGCGTGCTCTGGTCTGGTCCATAGGGTCACGAAGAGTCGGACACGACTAAACGACTAAACAACGAGGACACCACTGTAACTTACACAGATACCCAAATATAACTTGCAAATAATGGGATGATAGGATCAAACGAGACAGGATGAAATAGAGAAACAATAAACAGAGAGATAAAGTGACCACAGAATTAGCTGGGCATGGGAGGGAGCAATGAACAGTAATAAACCTCTATGAAAAAAAGGTAGAATATTCAGGCGCTAACCCCTTTGAAGGCAGCTGGCTGGATAACTCAGCGATTTGGGTATCCAGCTGCAGAGCCAAAGGTTGGAAGTTCAATTCCCTAGTATGCTTCCTGTGAGAAGAGCCAACCTGCACATCCTTGAGCAAACTGTACACTCCCAGGGCACTCCCAGAAGAAGGGAATTGTAGACCACTTCAGAGCATTCTCTACCTCGAAAATCCTGGAAAGGGTAGCCATAGGTCAAAATTAACTTGACAGCACACAACTATTATCATTAACTTCTTTGAAGTCACTTCTTTTTTTAGACAAAAAGTAGACCTAGAGAATATTTGGACTAATGGTGAATACATTTAATTACATTGTTTCAATAATATATTTCAATCTATTTGTTTTTTTCAGATGCCAGTATGTATGCCCATTATCTCTTTAATGCATTTGATACATCACAGAACGGATCGGTGAAGTTTGAGGTAAAGGAATTATGACAGGGTCTGATCCTACATCTCCTCACTGAGTGCCCCATTTCACATTTTGTACACTTTCCTTTCCATTTCTCTGTAGAGAAAATATTGCAGGTCAGGTAATGTAATGAACAAAAAAACAAAACAAAAAAAAAACAACAACAAAACAAAAAGAAAGAGTATGTCCTTGGCATGCCCCCTTGAATATGTATTCTGCATACATCTCGTTAAAATGAACAGAGGAGGTGGATGCATTTGAAGCTCTGACAGAATTTGAACTCTCTGCTCTGTAGCCTTTCATATCTGTAATAACCTAACAAAGTCCAATAGAGCATGGATTCTATTCACTTCTAAAATAGGCAGACTTTTATAGGTCCTACAGTCAAACTCCATTCCCAGCTTCTTCACAAAACATACAAAATGAACCATGCCAGAATATGACAAACACACAGCCACCTTGAGTAAAGTGGGTTCCCAGCCACAATTTTTGAAAATTCATAAGTGTCCTAAGCATTCAGTGCTTATGTTTCTTTAGTCAACAACAACTTTTAAAAGTTGCCTGGAAGACGGAATCCCGAAGAATTAATGGATGGACTAGCAGCAAAACAGATCAACATTGCATTACTATATGCATGAAAGCAGAGAAATTAATGTTTCAATTCATCATATGTTAGTCATGTTCCTTTGTAATAATGAGGCTTGAAAAAACCTTTTTTCCCAGAATATATTTGTACTCTCTTTCCAACAGGATTTTGTGACTGCACTATCCATTCTGTTGAGGGGAACAGTTCACGAAAAACTACGATGGACGTTTAATCTGTATGACATAAATAAAGATGGCTACATAAACAAGGAGGTGAGAAAATTGATAGCATTAACATCTGTCTCATTCAGGAGAGGCAAGTGGAAGGAAGGACAGAAGCCAGCTTATCTCACTAAGCATAATTCACGCCTGGCACAGCTAAGTGAAAGCACTCAGATCGTTAGGTTTTATCTATTAGAACTGTTGCTGACTTTGCAACAAAACCTATTTATGCTTCTGTTTAAAGGAAAGATTAATGGCAAGTTGGCTTCTGGTATGTATCAAGGAATAGGCAGGCATGTGTATTATAAAGAGCCTTTCTAGACAGAAAAGAAGATTGCAGATTGCAGAGGTACAGGGAGGAGCTGAAGTTTCTAGTAGCCCTGGGAATTTTTGAACTTGTGGACTACAGCACCTAGAATCATGAAAGAATTCTCTCAGCCAGAGTGTGGGAGCTTTAATGAAGAAGTCAAAGTCCTGACAGGCGTTTTCAAGTCCTGAAGCTTATGAATTCAGCCTCCGACAGACATTTTGACCCTGTGGAAAAGACAGGAGAAATTAGTAGGCAGAGCTAAGCTCTGTGAAGTTGCAAGGGATAATGGAGGTGGTAGGCTCTGCCCATTAGGCTCTGCACGGGAAGCCCATTTCTTGTACAGTGGTGCCTCACTTAACAATTGCCCTGCATTACAACGAATCCGCTTTCCGACGATGTTTTTGCAATTGCAATTGCGATCGCAAAACAATGGTCTAAATGGGGGGATTTTGCTTTGCGATGATTGGTTCCCTGCTTCTGGAACTGATTTTCGCTTTACGACGATCAAAACAGCTGATTGTCAGGGTTTTCAAAATGGCCACCGGGTGCTTAAAATGGCTCCCAGCTCTGCTTAGGGATGGATTTCTCGCTATACAGGCACCGAAAATGGCCACCATATGGAGGATCTTCGCTGGACGGTGAGTTTTTAGCCCATCACTTTTTAATTTTGCTTTACAGCGATTTTCCTGGAATGGATTATTGCCGTTAAGCGAGGCACCACTGTAGCTCCCTTAGAGGCTGGCCCCACCTACTCATTTACCTCTGTCTTCTCCACAGGATGAAAATGGCAGCTAGAGGCTAAAGTCATTAGCAGAAGAATTTAAAAACACCTGGCAGAAATCTAGCTGGTACAACTCCTGGAGACATCTGAGGTCTATAGTGCAGGAATTCTGAAAATGCCATACCTAGTCTTGAGCAGTCTGATGTTTTATAGCAGATAAATTAAAAGAATTTCATGTGGTGCCCACATGGAAGGGGAAAACAAAAGAATGCCACTGCTTATCACTGATGTCACAGACACAGAAATGAAGCGCTGCTTTTTTGTGTGTGTGACATCCATGGTTAATTTTCTCCTATTGAAATCAGAACCACTGTAACTTTAACTGGATCATATGTTATGTGGAAAACATGTAAGCACCCAGTGTGGTGTAATGGTCACATTCTTGGGCTAGATTTCAGGAGACCTTCGTTCAAATCCTCATTCCGCCATCGAATTCACTAAGTGACCTTAGTCCAGTTACCTGCCCTTAGCCTGACCTACCTGGGAGGTTTAGGTGGGAAGAGAAGTGCCTCAAACACATTAACGAAAAGGGAGGGGTGACAGTGCATGAACCGAACCACAAACCAGCCCGGTGCATATTTTTTCCAATTCGTAGTCCGGTTCGTGCCCATCTCTAACATGAAGTATATAGACCAAAGGAGCAACTGAGAAATGTGTGGAATGGGCTAACATGTCTGGGGTTGGGGGACCAAACCAGGAAGAATTGTGATTGCTGAATATGTCTTTCTGAGACAAAGCTTTGAAAGAACAAAATGTCTAATCTGGATCTCACCAACCAGTTTCCTTGGAAGACGATGAGTACAGGGAATAAGTTCATAATGCATTTATGGCCACACTAATAATGAGTCTCCCAGACAAATTCACAACGCCTGGAACACCATATGCCAACTTGGCCATTTTAGTCCTTAACAACTTTGCTGATTTTCATGGCAACAACCTCCCTCAATATGTTCAATAAATTACATGAACTAATTATCTCTTTTGAACCACAAGTTGTGCCAGGAAATGTTTGGAAAGAATTTATGTGCCTTTATTTGAAACAGGGCAGTTTAAGGTTCATAAGGCTTCTGTGTGCATCACGTAAGTCAGATAAATATATTATATCTGAGCATTGTGATGAATAACAGCATGATCCTATATGTGGCTACTCAGAAGACATTCCTTTTGGTCAGGATCCCCTTGTGTACTTTAGTATCCAGTATCAGGTTGCATCCCCTTCCCCTTCCAGCAGTACCTCTCCATGCTACAGAAACCAAAACCAGCACAGCAAACCAGGGTACCAACAATCGGGATCAAGAGCATATAGGACTCCTCTATACAGATATTAGCATGTGTTTGTCTGTAATTATGCAAGGTTATTTTCACTGTTGGTCAACAAACTTATATATAAAATGTGGCATTATTTGCAACCCAGTATAAAGCACTTGAAACCATTACAGTTCTCTCTGATGGTTCAGCTAGGCTCAAAGTGGTTGCTGGTATTCAGCAGTAAAAGATACCAGGAAATTTTGTTGTGGAAAATTCCAGAAGTGTTGCAGTACCTTTTGAAAGGAGGGGTGGGGGGAGAAGCCTTATGTCATCTTAAAGACAAAGTATCTTAAAACAAGAACCAAGACTTACATGGGGCACTCCAGTTGTCACCAGAGTGCCAGCCGCAGGCTAGTGAGCAGTCTCTGAAGAGGCGAGGGGCAGCATGACATTTCCCCCATGGCATCCTCTGGGTGCAGGGGAGACCGTGATGGTGGCCAGCAGGGGAAGGGTTCACACCCCCGGGCCTTAGATTGGCTGGCAGGAAATTTGAATCAGATCAAGGGAAAACAGACTGGAGAGCAGGAAACTTCACTCCAGCCCACATGCCCAATATGAAAGTGGAGCTGGGGACCTACTCAGTCTGTTGGCAGCTCACCATTTTCCCCCTCCCCCTCTAGTGGTGGTGGTATAATGGTACAATTGACTGTTTTGTTGCTTGGGTATTAGGTTTATCAGCGGCTGCTTACAGGTTTTTTTCTCCTCTCTCTCTTGTTACTTTGTCACAACTTGATTGAGCGTTTGGGGCATTGGGACTGGATCCAAATAGTGAGAGGGTGGCAGGCAGGTTGGTCAGGGAATTTCCATGAGGAGAGTTGAGGCAGGGCCATGATCTACGCTAGCACGGACGTCTGTTGACCTTGCCTTGCCTCAGATGGCAGGGAGTCATGGAGGCCCACGTCGTCTCCAGAGCACTGCCACTCCTGCTGGAACCTTCAACAGCTGCTGAAGGGGTTGGTGGTTGGTATCAAGAGTCATTCAAATCTCTTAATGCAAAGGATCCAATTCCACAACGCTGGGCCAGGGACTGCTGCTTTAACCAATGAAAATTGTGGCCTATTCGTCTCCAAAGATGTCTTCTTGTATATAGGTGTAGAAGGCCTGGGACCTGCTCAGTGCTAGGCTAACCACATACAGTATATGTGACCATGAAAGGCACCACACAAGAAAAAGCTCCCCAGAGCAACGGAAAAGGGAACCAGCTGTAGCAACAGGCCACAGATTTCCTTTCAGAGGATCCACTAAGGACTGGAAGCCCCCAGTGAGTGCCTACTTCATGCCAGGTGGTGGACTGGGAGAGTGGCTGTAGCTGTTTTTCTTGCAGAGGATACAGTGACAATCGGGAGCTAACTCAGTGTCTGCATGCATGGCCATTCCCCTCCCCTTCCCACCTGCCTCCCAAGATGTGTGTAAGGGTGGGGGCAAGGGAAGTTAGCACGGGCTTGCCAAGAGGATTGAGGGGGCGAGGGAAGTTGAGCAAAAAGCTTTCCTTGCAGAGGACTCAGGATTAGGTGCCATGGTCATGGAGGAGAAGCTGGGCAATAATGTGCAGTTCTCAGTGGGGTGTGTGTATGTCACAGGAAATATCCTTGAGATCGGCCTGTCTATAATGACTGCATGATTTAGGTTGGTGAAAGCGTAGGAACCGGACCTCAGTGTTGTGCTCCCAGTGAGAGAGGTGATGGGAAGTGGCTGCGGCAGCAGCGCTCCTTGCAATAGGCTTCTAGAAGGCTGGGAGCTAGGGAAAGATTGCCCAGTGGGTAAGGAGAGTAACATTATGGCTGAAAGTTCACCTACGCAGGATCCAGGCACTAGATGGGCTAGATAATAAAGGGAGAGATTGTTCTTTCCTTAGTCCAAGTAGTGAAAATATAATTTTGACAGTGACTGGACCACAAACCTGAGAAGGGGTCTGTGCCAGTGAAGCATGCTGCATTCATCAGGTCTTCCACATCCATGCTAACATCCCAGCCCCTTAACTTCTTAGCCATATGCATTTCCCCATTTTCAGATTTTTTAAATAGAGATCCAAAAAATGCATGAATAATGTCGTAGACTTTGATGAGGAGCATGTCAGAATGTCTCCTAAAAGGTATAGAGCCATTTGTCATTTGTCCCTGATCAGTGTGCCCTTTTTGTGGATATGGATCAGGTTAGCAGCCTGGAATCTTTTCTGTACACATGTGGAACTTAGTGACTAAATAGAAATCTTCACATCAGGCAATCAAGAAATAACTGTGGAACTGGATATTTTAAACAAACAAATAAATCATAGAGGCATACCTTAGATTTCAGCATGTGCGATGTTCCTGCGTATTCAGATCTAAATCACAGCAAAGAGGGTTGTTTTGTTTGAAAATCCCAAGCAAGGATATTGCAACCTCCAATAGCTTCATTCTCTTTGTTGAAGGTTAATAATAAAAGGAAGGTTGAATCTGTCATCACTAGAGCCATATTGGATGTTGATAGGCCTAATTGATGTCTCCCTTGTGTTTTTATTGTCCTGATTCCAGGAGATGATGGATATAGTGAAGGCAATTTATGACATGATGGGCAAATATACCTACCCAGTGCTGAAAGAAGATGCACCAAGGCAGCACGTAGAAGTATTTTTCCAGGTACTTTTCAGTTTTATTCTTGCATTTTTATTTCTCTTCTATAATCGCACAGCTACTACATTTTCAGTTGCTTTATATCTTGGCAGTGGAATTAGTCCGAATCTGCAAAGTTGCATAGTTGCATTTCAGGGCTTCCAGTTGAGCACTCTTGCTGCGTTTTACAAATGTATTAATCTTATGGACTCAAACAGCTTATGTTTTTTCTGTTTTACAGAAAATGGATAAAAATAAAGATGGTGTTGTAACTTTGGATGAGTTCATTGAATCATGTCAGGAGGTAAGAATACACTTCCTTCTGCAATAAAGACAGTCAAGAAATTGAGTTATGACCAAAAAAAACTTACTGTGTTCCCCCCCCCAAAAAAATAAGACAGGGTCTTATATTAATTTTTGCTCTAAAAATGCATTAGGGCTTATTTTCAGGGATTTTTTTAAAAAAATGTACAACAATCTACATGTATTCAAATACAGTCACGTCATCTTCTTCTGATTGCTGCACAATGGTGGAGGGTGGGGTTTCACTTAACTGGGGCTTATTTTGGGGCTAGGGCTTATATAATGGGCATCCTGAAAAATCATACTAGGGCTTATTTTCAGGTTAGGTCTTATTTTCAGGGAAACAGGATAGTTCCAAATGATGAGAATCCTAGGGCAAAAAAATCAGTTTGTATTAGATACTGCCAAAATGGTGGTTTGTCTTATGATTCCTCCCCCCCAACAAATGACAAATCATGTAATTGGTTTGTTTTGGACTTTTGTTGTTATTATTGTTTTTTTATGGCTGTCTAAAAAACAACCACAACATCCCGGTTTGCTCCCTGCCCCCACAGCTTGCCTCCCACCCCCTTACCATAGCTCCTGTTGCCTCTCTACCTTTTCCTGCTGCCATGTCAATCTTGTGAGGCCGCTGCTCCGGCAGGCCGGCTAGTCTCTGTGCAGGTCCCGGCCTCTCACCTGGTAAGCTGGGACATGTGCAGTTGGCCCCTAGCTGGCAGGCTAGCTAACTTTTTTTTAAAATTTAAAATGTATCTTTTTTTAAAACATGTTAGCCGGCCCATCGGCTGGCTGGGGGGCATCTGTACATTTCCCTACTTACCAGCTGAGAGATGGGGACATGCATACATGGCCCCTTGCCTGTGGTGGGGCTTTTGAGATAGCGGTGGCAGCCAAGGAAGAGGAGGCAGCGGCAGGAAAAGGTAGGGAGGCAATGGGGGCAGTGGGAAGGGAAGGGAGGGCAGGCCATGGTGGGGTACAGAACAAGGAGTAAATCACCCCAAAAACTCATTGGTTTGGGAAAGTTCGAGTTCTCCAGTTTGGCCATACCGAACCAATCTGAACCAATGAATTAGCGATTTTTGACAAATCTGGTTTGTTTTTCGCATCATGCCCATCTCTAGTTTGCATCATTGTGATGCATTCCTTATGACATCCAAGGCTACTGGAAAGGAAAAATGGGGAGGAGAAGATGCAGAAGTAGCAACTGCATATAATAGTAATGGCCCAGAAATTGGATGTAACTTGGTATAAATAACAAGTTACATCTATTTCTTAACTCATTTCACAAGTAACCAAGATATAAGGTTGTTACATTATGACTGTAATATATTGAGATAAGTTTGTTATTTTAACAGTTCTAGTTACTTCTATACCTATCAGGTATAAGTGTGGCCTCACTATGTGGGTAGGTATGTTTTGCACAACACTGCATTCTGAGTTTTTAAAAAGTAGATATATCAGCTGTTTTTAACATAAAAGCATAAGAGCCAAGGGCCCATTTAGTCCAGCTTCTTGTATCTCACAGTGGCCCCAACAGATGCCTCTGGGGGCCCATGAGACAACTAGATATCTGTCTCCTGAGACCCCACCCCAGCATCTGGCATTTTGAGGTATCTTGCTTTTAAGCCTGGAGATTATACATCTCCGCCATGGTTTGTAACCTGCAATGGACTTTTCCTCCAGGAATCTGTCCAATCCCCTTTTAAAGGCATTGAGGACATATGCTATCACCACATCCTGGGGCAAGGGGTTCCACAGACTACCAGCATGCTGGGTAAAAATATTTTCTTTTGTCCATTTGAATAACAAGAACACAAAAGAATTATTTTTTATAAATTGCAGTTATAAAACATAGTGAATTCCACCACCCTAGTTCCTCAGACTGAAGATGAGTTCCTGAAAGTAGCAGTTGTTCTTTTTTCCTCTTGCATGGAGATGATACTGCGACTATGGATGATACAGGTGCAGGTCGTAAATGCAGCATTGAGCAATACATGGCCTCAGGTCTTAGGCTTTGTTGAATCCAGCACTGTATTGCCAGTACTAATGTTGTAAGGACTATTGTTATTATCTGATTTTTAAAGAATTTCTGTCATAAACTGCCTAGGGGAGAAAAATAAGCTATAATTTAAAAAAAAAGTTGATAGCATTTATCAAGTGAAACAGGTGAAACAGTAGGTGGAGATTGTTACGTGGAAGACAGACAGAAGATGGAGCTAAACAAAAACGTTTAGGAATCCTGCATCAAGTGAAAACATATGTCTGGTTTTCACCGTGTTTTAGCACGTGAAGTTATGTATGTGGTGGTGGTTATATTACTAGACATAATTTATATGACAGTTCAGAGTAAAAAAGCAAGTTAGATGAATTAAGGTCCTTTGTACAGACATTTCTATAAACAGGGCTGCTGAGATTCTGTGCTGAACAAGCATTAGCTCTCTCCCATGCACTACCATTCATAGGGTCTGCATGCAGGACACAACATTAAACCATGGCTAGTTCCTTCAGTTATGCTTATGGACCTTAGAAAACCAGTCATCTCAAGTATTGCAGGTTTTTAGGACAGACAGACAGGTATAGGTATAGGCATAGGTATAACAAATCAATATATACAACTAAAATATGCATGGTATATTCTCCTGTTGCTTCTAGGATGACAATATCATGAGATCCTTACAGCTGTTTGAAAATGTCATGTAATGGCTGCTGAAGAGCAGCGTAGGAATCAGAGACTTTATACGTAATGGGACCCTGAAGAAAATGAGTCAAGATTTTTCTCCCCACCACCTTTTTGATGAAAGCTTTTTACTACTTGGACATACTCAGCGTGCAAGGATTTTGTATGCCATCGCGAACTGGGCCGTGTGTCTGAACGCACCAGACTTGATCTCACCGTCCTCAAAAGACTCTGACTGAAATTTATTTCATTTGGAAGCATGCTAATAAAAACCTGACCAGAGGGACCTGCTGTTTAAAAGGTTTAATGAATTGAAGTTTAAATGATTAAAATATTCAATGTTCTGTTAGCTAATCACAAAACTTCTTCTGCTTTTGTTCTATCGAGCTGGATTTACCTATGGTAGCGCAGCATCAGTAGGCTTGCTTAACCATCTATTGTGAGCAGAAACTCTTTTTGTACCCTTGTGGGGCAAAAGGTTGTACTAATATTTTTGGTTCAACAGAAATGTGCCAGTAAAGCTCATGCAACTTCTGGAAACTAACACCTGTGAAACATAGATGGAGGGTGAGATTAATTTAGGCCTTCTCTGCGTGACCAGGTTATTGTCCAACCCATGCAGAGTTGTGGGTGTTTTGTTGTGCAACAATCAGAGAATGTCACTCAAGGAAATATATCCCATTGAATGATACTGCATTTTCCAGCACTTAAACTGCAATAGATTGTTGTGAACAAAATATGTTTCTTTTCTCTACTAGCTACTGTGACCTGGAGAGGGCCTTCAGGGCTTTGTTTTGTATTACAACCATTGGTTAACATCCATTAGATCAGTAACAAGTAATCCAAGTCTATTCCTATCCTATAATTGTGTTATGTAGTCATTCTAACACAGGCAGTGTGCTGGAAGCAAGGAGATTACAATGGAAGCTGAACCTGACAGGTCTCCTGACAAAGATTAGGGAAGTCCCTTGTCAGTTTGATCATTGCTGTCATTGGGAGACAGACGATGAAACTAACAAGTGTATTGCACATTGATATGCTTTCCTTCAGACTTATAAGAGACAGCTGTTTGGCTTCCCTTTCCGGATAGAGTGCATCCATTTTCTGAAAAGTAGATCTGTTTTTGTTCTTGTTTTAAGGAATTAGGGTAGTAACGAGAACACCACTTGTATAGCTATCCAACTTCCACCCCCTGTTATACAGTATATTGGTTATTTCTGTACTGTAGGGATGAGGACCTTTTAGCCCTCCAAACACTGCTGGACAACTATTCCCATTGTGTTTGACCATTAATTAAACTAGCTGGAAGTGATATGAGATGAACCAACAGCATCTTAGAGGATCAGTGGTTCCCCATCCCTCCCCTACTTTTTTTGAGTTGGGAGTTGAAGGACTCTTCTGAAAAACCAGGAGGAGCATACTCAGAAGCAATTGTCTGCCCAAGATATCAAATTGCTTGCCTTTTGCTCTCAGGAATATATATTTAGGTATCCCCACCCTCACCCCTGATTAATTCCAGTGAACTTTCTCATAGTTCATAATAGGTCACAGGAGCACAGAATGTTATTTCCTTTAGTACAAAGAGAGGGGTCAGTAGACAGTCCTGGATATTGTTTTGGATCACAACAATAACTGTTGTACATGGATCTCTAGGCAGCCCGCCTAGTCTTGTCAGGCAAAGACCTCCAATGAAATGAACTGAGGTCATGAAGAAGCAATTTCTTGTGTATTGTGCCCAGAGTTGTCAAGCACAAATGCACGCATGGTGTTCTCTATATAGTGATAAAAAGTTATCAAAAAGTGTGCTAAATAAACATTTAGAGTACTTTGAAAGATATTTTATTTGTACAAAATAAGTCAAAGCCATGAAGCTGGAGTCCTGAGTAAACATTAAGCACACATTAATTTCACAAGGGTCTGGAGCTCCAGTTTGTAACAAAATGATGATCTTTAGGAGTCAACATAAATAACAGTGATAACCTCCAAATGATGGAGAATCTGGCGTATTTGACCAAAACATTTTAAATGGTTTGAAAATACCTTTCATAGGACCAGAGGCAGGGGTGTATGTAATTCTGTTGACACGTTTGCCCTTTTCAGGAACAACATTTTTGGAACAGAAATTCTATGACTGAAATCCTGCTCATATACGTTTTGTTGTGTAAGACTCATGTCACCATCAGCCTTATGTGGTTTAACCTACACACACAGGATTTCAGTCTACATGTTATTGTTTGAACTATATTGACACATCTCTTGAGAGAAAGCAATGATTGTTAAATGAATTTTGATGCTGAATGTATGAAAGCAATATGTTGTACCCTTTGACACTGCATTTCTACATAGTACATACAATCCATACCGTGTGGCCCCAATTCTGTTAAAAATTGACATACTGTAATATGTAGCACAACACTAAGCATGTTTTATTCAAAAGCAAGTCCTATGGGATTCAAATGGAATTTATATCAAACAACTTGACTGGAAGTAGATTCTTTTCAAACAAGTTTGCTTTGAAGTAAAACCTGGCTAAGACTGGGCTTACTAAATCAATTCCCACTGTTTTAGCAGCATTCACAATTAACTTTATTGGGGCCATAACCATTTGACTTTGAAAGAACTTGTCCTGGCTGCCTGTTTGTTCTAACAAACCCCATGAATCCCTGCCAGGACATCTAGTGTAAAAAGAATGAATATTAGACCTGAGGATTTTTGCTGAGGACAAGTACAGACAAACAGCAGTGGAAGAAATAGCAGAATAGTACAATGTAACATTTTGCAAGACTCTGATGTTTGAAAGAGCTCCCATTTTAGGAAAACAGAATGATAGATATTTAGATACAAATGACGAAGTTTATAAAAAAAAATAGTGCCAAGATTATCTTAATTGCCTACTTTAAAGTGCCACCTGTCTGACTTGCCTGAGAACGGCCTGAAAAACTGATTGCCTAGAAAGATGAAGGGACTATCTATGGACAGAAGAAACAAGGAATGGCAGCTACAAGTGGTTTGGCTTACATTGCACCCTTTGTGATTGTCTGATTTCCATGAAAGTTCTACATATATTTTTATGGACAAATTACATGTTATGAAAATATATTTTAAATATGACATTCATAGTTCTATATTTTATAAAGCACATGAATTGTAAAGCCTAAATGTATGTAGATGTATGTACGGCTGATACTGTTTTAACTGGATTTGTGATGTGATTCATAGAGTAGAACAGTGACATGTTCTCATAGGGTCCTATACTTTAGGTCTCCTCTAAATGCTCTCCACTAACTCTCTCTGGTTCCCAAATGTCTCTCCTGTTTCTTGGCTCCAGCCTCACTTGCTTGTATCCTTCCCGGCAAGATCTTGCATTGCAAACGCTGGCACCCTGAGCACCATGTATCGAGCACTAGCTGCTTTGCCCATTTCCCATTGCCAATCACTGAATGGGACCAATTCACAGCTACTTCTGCTTTGCGCCGTGGAAACAAGTGCAGGAAGTAAAATGAAGCCCAAATGAGGTATTCTGATTATTTATATTTCACCTGCCCTTGTGTGAGGAAAGAACAGAGATCCAGCAGTAAGTCCTACTGGTGAGGTATTACAAAATTAAGAGTTTTGCCCCATAGAAATCATTATCTGGCAGAACGTTGAATGCTTTTTAAAAATATAGTCGTAGTATAAGCACTGTGGGGTGGTATATAAGAAGCTCACTTTTTTTGCTTATATACTTAAAATGGTGGCCAAGATCATTTGGGCAGCTGAGTACATAATATTTCCATTGAAATCTATGGAACTCTGAATCATGAATTCTGACTTAGGCATTATGTTCTTCGTATTTGCGAAGGCTTTCACGGCCGGGATCTAATGGTTGTTGTGGGTTTTTCGGGCTCTTTGGCCGTGTTCTGAAGGTTGTTCTTCCCAAAGTTTCACCAGTCTCTGTGGCCGGTATCTTCAGAGGACAGCACTCTGTCCTCTGAAGTGCTGTCCTCTGAAGATGCCGGCCACAGAGACTGGCAAAACATTAACAAGAATAATCTTCAGAACACGGCCAAAGAGCCTGAAAAACCCACAACTACCGTTTATGTCCTTCTTTTGAATTAGAACTATGTGTCATCATTTTCTTTCAGCTACTCTGATTTACTACAGTGTCCTGGTTGTTCAGCATATGGCTGGTAGAATAGCAGTCTCTTGTTTGCAAGCAAATCTATGGATATTCCAGAATATGGACCATTATTTTTAAAAAGAGATGTGTCAATTCTTCCTTGTTACCTTAAGAGTAACACATTAGTAAAACCTTACTTGTGTGTACTTTCTTAGTTACATATTCATTACATTATAATAAAGCTAAATAAATAGCCTAAATGCCCCAAATCCTCTAAAAAAAGAGAACATTTTAGAAATATCAGTTGAAATCCTGTTGCATTCAATCTGTTTCTAGCCAGCAATGAAAGCGTCCCCACCACGGTTCTCAGGGGACATGCACACACGCTGGTTTCGTCCTTGTATGGGGACTCTTTCTTTACTGACTAGGAACAAATCAAATGCTACAAATTTTCTTACACTAAACAAATGGATTTCAGCCATCAAGTAAGTATTACTCATTGCACTAAAAAAAGAGGAATACCTGTACTCCTCCAAGGAGCCATCCTTCATAGTCAGAGAGTTGTCTTACAGATCAGCCTGAGCTACCAGAGGATCAAGTACAAGCCCGCTAATGTAATTAAGGTTTTATGTTCTGTATACATGCCCAATTTTCAACACACTTTAAAGCATTTAATAATCTAGGGTGAGGTTTATGAAAGGTTAGTGTATGACATATTAAGATTTCGTCTCTTCAGAGGTGGGCAAATTATGCCGTGAAATCTCTCTTTGTGACCTATGCCTGCCTGCCACCAATCCCAGATACTTGACTAAAAATAAATTGAATTAAAAAGATAATTTGCCTCTCCTAAAAGCTTTCATGGGTGGCAGTTCTGCAATAAACTGTTAACCTCTGCTCCCAGGCCTCAAAACAAGTAAAAGAAAATTGGAAGTACGACTCATGATAGCTGTAACTTTTTTAACACGAGGAAGTGCTGTGGTCCATGGTGAGTGTTGAAGGCAAGACATTAGTCCCGGGATCCTCCAGGGTTGCCCACCCCTGCTTTAATGCATATCACTTCTTCCTCATACCAGATCTTCCCAGATAGATTATGGGCACTCTATTGGAGATTCCATTGCAAAAACTTTCTAAAATAGTTCCCGTAATCTCTCACTTTGGACAATGGTGGCTAGGGCTAATGAGAGTTAGAGAGACAGACATAGTTGCACATCCCTGATTTTAGTATTTGACCAGTTAAAATCATTTGCTTAATTGTGTTGGTGTGCTCACGTTGAATGAAACCAAAGTTGTGCAAGTCAAAAGTTCCTGCCAGAGATGAGCTTTGCATGTGGCATTGCCACTTAATAACATAATGGTTCTGCTCCTTTTCCTGTTGACAACTGTGGTAAAACTCAGTGACTCCAGCATAACCTTGTGGGACAGACTGATGATTCAAATGGAGTTAGTGGGCTAACTTAATTGATTAGTTCCAGCTAGAGCAGACATCATTCTGAATCAGTAGGGCTTACACAAATTTTAACATGCCAGAATCCTATTGATTTGTCAGTTCTGCCCTAGTTAGCGCTAACAACAGGATATAGTCCAATATCTCCCATCTGCATTGAAGGTTACTAGTGGCCATGGTAGTTGCTATATCTGATTTTAATTAAAATTTTCTCTTTATTAAAAAAAAATGTATGTTGTAAAAATAGACTGAAGCCATTGCCCTAATTACTGTCTCTGATAATTAACTGTGATGATGCCAGGGTCCTTAATAGTCCAAGTTTGTTGTTTGTTTGTTTCATCTGACCCCCCCTCCCTTTATTGGTAAGGAAAGTTTCACCCATAGATTGAAACTATGGATACAGCATGCATAAAGATGACAGAGAATATTTTGGTTCATAGTAGTATCATTGGAAATGAGCTCATCTGTGACAGTAAGCAGAGTCCAATCAAAGTTATGCACTGTGCCAAAGCTGATAGATTAAACAAGGAGGCGCTAAGGATGATCTTAAAACTGTCACCAATTTCTGTGTTCAATGTACTTAAAGAGTATCTAACTTTGTTTGGATTGTGCCCAGTATTATTCCTCTGTGAACACTTGAGCTCGGATGCTTGATCATCATTCATAGTCGCAATATGTATGGCAAGGACTTGGTGATCATAAAAAAAAAGCAGTGTAATCAACTGGTTTTGCATCATTCTTACGCGATCATTATGTAGAAGGTAGTATTTGGGCTAAGGTTCTACGTTTTAAATCTTTAATGTTCCCCATTGTACAAATTTCCTCATGACTGTAGTCTTTTCACCAGTGTCCAGAATGTTTGTCAAACATTAGTTATTAATTACTATGACTGTGTTTGAAGTACACTTTTTCAAAATGTTTGTATGCATTTCAGGCAACAGTTTGCTAAAAAAAACAGAAATTATAATAATGCTGATGCAAAAAAGAAAAGAAATACATTCATGTGTCCGCTGCTGTTAATGTTAGTTTTCCTGTTACTCACTGCAGTCCCATGAGTGCAAGAAAGCTTGCTGATTGTAACAGTTCCACAGGAAACATACTGCCATGATCAGTTGGAATGACAGATTATTGGCATCCCTGAAGTGTTGTCCTGCTATAGAAAAACATCCCCGCTGTGTTGACATGAGAAATGTAATTCATAAAAATGCAGTGGTATTATAGCTTTTTCCTTCCTCGTGCAACATCCACCATAGTTTTGAAGGGTTTCAGAAAAATTAACAAAAGCCCATATTAAGCCAAGCCATTCTATCGGAGCAGCAATGTATCACTTCACTTCCGTCAATATGATCAAGCAGCAATTTGTATAATATTTTGTTGAACATTTTCAAAGATTTTGGTTTTAATAATAAAACTATAATATGTAAATAAAACCAGTCGTATGTCTGTGTTACGGATGCTCGGGGCCAATTCTGCTTGAAAAGTTTCAGGTGGGCCCTCCCTTGGATGTTCCCGGCAGTGTTAGCACCATAGACACCCATGGGTTGGACATAAGTTGAATCACAGGATAATATATGGTGCTTAATGTGGTGAAAACAAAGCGGGCCAAATGTGTGATCTTATGGGACGCAGTGGGGAAACAATAGTAAAGACGGGACAATCAGAGAACCTGTATTACCTCACCGACCTTTACAGAAGTTCTCAGTGTGGTGTGATGGATGGACTAGGATTCTGAAGAACAGGGTTCAAATCCCTGCTTGGCCATGGAAACAGACTGGGGGAGTGGAACTGGAAAAACACTTGATGAATATCTCACTTACCTTGAAAACCCTATAAGGGTCACTATAAGTTGGTTCTGACTTGACAGCACATAACAACAACCTTTGTAGAAAATCACTACCACGCGAGCCTACAGAAAGTTCTGGTTTCAGAACAATCATTGGCATTTTCACTGAGGACAACAACTTCTGCTGCATTTTATGTGGCTTATTTCATGGTAATAGTGCTTTAGTTTAGAAGCTTAGTGTGGAAACTATTCTCCACAAATAGAGCACATCATGCAGGTAAGCATGTGCTCCATCTCCAAGTAGATGCCTTCCATGCCTTGTGGTGGCATTTACTGAGTCAGTCTCTTGCAAGTAAACCATTTGCTTTGGATGAATTTAAGGAATTTAAAGAAGACTGGAGGACAAGCCGACTGAAAGGACTTATCAATTTCCCTGTAACCAGTTCCAGTCAGGAATCTAGAGCGTCCTGGATCCACTGAAGTTTCCACACACTTTCCAAAGGCAGTTCCATGTACAGCGGTGCCCTGCTTGATGACGACCCCGCTTGACGACGAGTTTTTTGCGATCACTATAGGGATTGCAAAACGATGATTCCTATGGAGTTTTTTCACTTTATGATGATTAGGTCCCTGTTTTGTGAACCGATTGTTCACAAGACGACGATTAAAAACAGCTGATTGGCAGTTCGCAAAATGCCTCCCCGCTGTTTTCTGGACCTATTTTCATGAGACAGTGATCAAAAATGGCTTCCCCTATGGAGGATCTTGACTGGACGATGAGGTATTTCCCCCATTGGAACGCATTAACCGGTTTTCAATGCATTCCAATGTTTTTTTTTCACTTGACAACGATTTCGCTTAACAGCGATTTTCCTGGAACAGATTATCGTTGTCAAGCAGGGCACCACTGTACACTGTGTTACAATAATCCAAACTGGATGTTACTGAGGCATGTGTCACTGTGGCCAGATGCAAAAGAACTGGCATCGTAATTTTAACTGTGCAAATGTACCCCTGGATCCAGTCTCAAGGATGAATCTAGAAGTACTCCAAATCTATGAATCTGACTTTTACGGTTGGGTGTAATCTCATCTAGTCCAGAATAGTGGGTATTCACTAGTGGGGTGGTATGTATGTATGTATGTATGAATACATACATACATACATACATACATACATACATACATACATACATACATACATACATACATACATACATACATACATACATACATACAAAGCAGCAGGATCACACGTGTGCTCCCACCCAGCCGAGCCTGGAGCTGAGCCCTCCTGCAAGGCGTGCTGGGGAAAGGGTTATCCCCAGCATGGCACACCCCTCCGCAAGTGTGACATGCCCACCCGTGAGCATAGGGGTGCCCCACCTCCCAACGGGTCCGCGCATGAAGCCCGCACCCCCCAATCGGTCAGCGGACCGAAAAAGGTTGAGGACCACCGATCTAGACAACCTGTTCCCATTTGATAAAAGACTGAGTGCCTTTCCCAGGCAAAAGGCCACCAAAGCCTTGGGAATTTAGGAGGGCCGCATCCAGAGCTGGT